TATCAGAACCATGTGAGCAGAAGGGAAACAGCACAGAATTCCCAGAACTGGCTGCAAATATAAAGACAGGCATATCTCAGATTGGCTGGAGATTTACATCAAATTCAACAGCAAGACTCTTGCAAAGGTAAATCAATGGGTTTGGTTTTAAAAGGAAGTATACAAATTCAGAAAGAGGCTAATCAGGCAATGTTGCACAAGAGGAATATTGGGTAAATCAAGAACATTATAAACAAAGTCCACAGTGGTGCTAGAACTGATAACCACAGTTTCCATCCTTCTGTGGAAAGTCTAGGGTTCTGAGGATCTGAAACAACCCTTTTCCAAAGGCCCTGGCCCCACATCTTTACCAGCTCTCCCAAGCATATTCCTGATAATAGAGACAGAGCTCTGCTGTTTCTCTATACATCATTGCCTAAGAGAAACCTCCCAAAGCCTAGGCAGGTTGCCAAAGTCAGAGAGGCCTAGTTTCAAGTATTTTCTAGAAGTTCTGTGCTTAGCATTTGACATTTAAGTGAAAGGCCCATTTGGAGTTAATTTGTGGAAGTTGTAAATGGCATCTCATGTACTGAGCAGTACTCCAGTACTAAGTCGCAATGTAGAAGACTAGAATTGGTGATATAATGGATTGACGAATGCTTAGGAGAGTTAGTCACACCAAGTAGAATTTACCTGAGGGAGGGCTGGCTCAGAAATACTCCAAAGACAAGTAGTATGTTAATCAGGATTATTAAAGATTTGGATGCTCAAATGTAAATATTTATTTAACTTTTATTTATACATGTCTGTAGTGAAAAGAGCAAATGAGATACTCACTTATATAATGGATAAAGAGGCTGCCTGTGTAACTCTCTAGAGTAAGCTGGAGCATCATAGTTTTAAGAGGGATTTCTTAGTTGTGTTGTACTGGATGCTGTAAACATCAATTACATGATATTTTCTTATGTATTTGCTGTTTCTTGGAATCAACTACATACTTACTTTAAAACCCAAAAGCATGGTTATAGTAGTGATGCCATGGATCATATGAATAACGCCTTGTGTTTATCTAATGTTTAGTTGAACAGTTTGTACCGAGGAAAAACAAATTTATTACATTATCATATACAGTTTCTATTCAGCTTTCTTTCATTTGTTGTTGCTCAGCACTATCTTAAGACAAACGTTTGGTATCTTCCCATGATCACCCATGGCTGCTTACAAAGGATGACCACCATCAGTTTTGCTGAATGTTGATATTCCATCAAGAAAATAGCATCCCATTTGATCTTAGTACACAGCCTCTTTTCCAGGCAACTATATGCAATTCATCCCTAATGACATGGGACATTGTGGTTTTAAGAATGAGCTAGAGTATGTAGCCAGGGAACCATTTGAGTGGATCTTGATTCTGTGTTAGCACCTATGAGAAATCCATTTTTGAAAGTGGGAATTTAAACCGGGCAGTGGTGGCGCACGCCTTTAATCCCAGCACTTGGGAGGCAGAGTCAGGCAGATCTCTGTGAGTTCAAGACCAGCATGGTCTACAAGAGCTAGTCCCAGGACAGGCTACAAAACCACAGAGAAATTTACCATGAGTGTCCATGGAGAAAAATGTTGTAATGGAGAGTATATGGGCAGTGGAAGTGTAGAGAGAAGGTAAGCTCCACATATGCAGCTATGGGAGAGCCATTGTACATACTGGATGGAGACATGCCTTGTGCTGCTTCTGTGTATCTTAGTTAGAGCTTCTATTGCTGTGAAGAGACACCATGACCACAGCAACACTTACAAGGGAAAATATTTGATTTGGCCTGGCTTACAGTTTCAGAGGATTTAGTCCATTATCATCATGGCAGAAAGCATGGAGAAAGAGCTGAGTGTTCTACATCCAGATCAGCAGGCAGCAGAAAGTGATTATGGTATGCCATAATCAACAAGGCCACATCTCCTAATAGTGCCTCTCCATGGGACTTTGGGGGTCATTTTGATTCAAACAACCACAGAATCAAAACCCCTTTTATGTATCTTTTCAACCATGCTCAGTAACTAAGCTCAATAAACACACTGGTTGGTTCCCAGAATGGACTTTGGTGAAATTGTAGTTTGTATCTTCATTGGTAATTATGGTTATGGGATAGAAACTGCTTCTGCCCCTTCCATGGGGGAGAAAATTCTCACAACAGATCATAAACATATTTGTTAATGTTCCAACTTATGATGATATTAGCAGAAAGGAAGAAGTACATAAAAGAACATGTTAGAAGAACATAAATATGTAAATGACCATAATAAAAAAGGACTTAGATGTATGAACAAGATTAAGACTAGATGGCTCCAGGATAAAGAAGACTGGAAAGGTTTTACAAGCTATGAAGTTCTGAGTAAGTTGTTTAAGGTACATAAGGATGAGACTTAGGAATCATTTATTTATTAAAGTTTGCAAGGTCAGATTCCAACTATTTCAAGGAGTGGTTGAAAGGTATGCCAAAGAAAGTTTATTGAGTTGTGTCTGACTCCTGAAGTATTATAAAGTAGTTAAAAGCACAAAACTAGTATAAAACTGATCTTCTAGTGTTTAATAATCATTCTTAGAAGCTATTCTAATGTCATTACAGGGACCAAAAGGGGGAATATTTCTCTCATTTCTATACAAGATCAGTGAGGTCCATAGGAACAAAGGCTATCTATTGATCATTTATTGTCCTGTTCATGGAGCCCATAGAGAACCCAATCGATGAATTGGAATCATTATCAAGTGTACAAAAGGAGGATCAATGTGGGAAAGATTTCTTCAAGGCTTCACAGGAAGCCACAGTACATAAAGCAAAGCTTTTGACTTATCCTCATATTGATGGACAACTGATAACAGAGAGACATGAAGAATCTGAGGTTCCTTCCAAGCACAAGTGACCTCTAAAGACTAGATGCTCAACTGGCATTGACAACACAGAAAGAAAGATTAATTTTTGACACCTGCATCGGCCTTCAGTACTCAACAAGAAATTTTAATGAAAAGATAAGAGGATTGCTAACAACACAACAGTTCACACTCCACGGACATTAGATGTAAGTCTACATGAGATGTTAGTTACCTAGCCAATCTCAGTAATATTTTCTTAATAAAAAGATTCTGTACGGATGTGAGACATCAGACCTTGGCTCCTAGAGCACCTTCACACAGCAAAGAAGGACAGGCTCAGGATTGTTTTAACCTCCAAATTAAATGATACTAAATACCTCTCTTCTCCCTATCCAGAAGTCACATGGGGAGGGCATCATGCTGACTTCTGGCTGATGAAACAGGTATAAAATGGTGTGACAGTTGGTTGTGGGCTCATCACTCTTGAGTCCAACTGTAGAAGTTAAGTGGAATCCTCTAACAGATGGAAGCTATTGTGAGTCCGTCAAGAATGTCTTATGGACTTTGGATATGTTAGTGCTTCCCAGACAACTCTGTCTACATCTGAGACTTTGGTCTTTATGAGAGGCTCTATGGAAGGGTACCATAATACTACCACCTGATGCCAAAAAAAATTCAGCTTAGGGGCTGGAGAGATGGCTCAGTGGTTAAGAGCACTGCCTTCTCTTCCAAAGGTCCTGAGTTCAATTCCAAGCAACCACATGGTGACTCACAACCATCTGTTGTGAGATCTGGTGCGCTCTTCTGGCCTGTAGGAATACATGCAGACAGAATACTGAGAATACTGTATACATAATAAATAAATTTAAAAAAATTCAGCTGAAACAAACCAGAACAGTCATTCCCCGATCACATAATGGTAGTTAGTATTACCTCTTCAAAGGAAGGTGGGATAAGAACTGGAGGTAGAAATAAAATATACAATTTAGGGAAAAAGAAAAACAACTCACATGGCTCCCTATTGGCTCCCTCATAGATCACAATCTACTTTCCCACTGGTGCTCCTGATTGCTAGGCTTGCCCAGAGTCCCTCAAGAGCTAGACTTGCCCAGCTGAGCCTCAAGACAGTAGCAGTTCCCTTACTAGATGAGCAGAAATCAAATTACTAAGCCAGCACAGCCCTTCCCAGCTCTGCCATTACACCCTAGGGAAACACAGGGCTCTAGTTTGAAAAATTGGTATTTTAGTAGAAACTTTTCCAGTCTCTCAGAGCACTTCTTGTTCCTCTTCCAAAATATAGTGTCCCTTGTGTGCATGTTCCAATACCCTTTCCCTCATAGTTCACATATTCTGAAGCCAAACATAGGCTACACTCAAACAGCAACTCTTGATAAAGCAAGATTTGTGATTTTTCTAATTTCTGGAAAGTCTTAGAGGCAAGAAATGAATTTGTCACACATGAAGCACATTTTAGTATCTACCTCAAATGTTTCAAAGTAGAAACCACAATGAAGTGATCTCTAACATCAGTCTTCAGTGAACATGGCTCTAATTTACTTCCTTCAAGGCTATTACAAAAATAAATGAAACATGTTTTTTTTCTTGAAGCTGAACACAACTGTGATGTCCAACGTCTTTACAAAATCATTTTCAGGAATAGAGTTTTTCTCTCATATGTGTTTATCCCTATTTCTTGACTTCAACATGATACAAACAGGCTTTAAAATATTTACAGCACTAGAAACATGGCTGGGCAATTAAGAAATATTCATTCCTAGGACCAAGGCCTAATTTTTGACAACTTCCTGTAATTCTTGCTACAAGATGATTCGAGGGTCAAACATTCTCAGAAGCAAACATGAAAACTTTACATACTCACACAAACATATAATGACATCACACAATTACAATTAAAACAACTCTTTAAACAAACAATTTTTCACACATGCAACTTTCTCTCTTATAAGCATTCATTCCTATAACACAGGCATTGAGGCACCTTCAAAATAACTATGCTATAAGCAAAGGCTTTATCACACTAATTACATTCATTAGATTTCTCTCCAGTATGTCTTCTTTCATGTATTTGGAGATGACTCTGACGTGCAAAGGCTTTTCCACACTGATTACATTCATAGGGCTTCTCTCCAGTATGTGTTCATTTATGTTCTTGTAGATGACCATGCCATGCAAAGGCTTTTCCACACTGATTACATTCATAGGGCTTCTCTCCAGTATGGCTTCTTTCATGTTTTCGGAGATAACTGTGACATGCAAAGGCTTTTCCACACTGATTACATTCATAGGGCTTCTCTCCAGTATGTGTTCTTTTATGTTCTTGTAGATGACAATACCATGCAAAGGCTTTTCCACACTGATTACATTCATAGGGCTTCTCTCCAGTATGGCTTCTCTTATGTTTTTGGAGACTACTATGATGTGCAAAGGCTTTTCCACACTGATTACATTCATAGGGCTTCTCTCCAGTATGGCTTCTCTTATGTTTTTGGAGAATACTATTACGTGCAAAGGCTTTTCCACACTGATTACATTCATAGGGCTTCTCTCCAGTATGGCTTCTTTCATGTATTTGGAGACTACTATGATGTGTAAAGGCTTTTCCACACTGATTACATTCATAGGGCTTCTCGCCAGTATGTATTCTTTTATGTTCTTGTAGATAACCATGCCATGCAAAGGCTTTTCCACACTGATTACATTCATAGGGCTTCTCTCCAGTATGGGTTCTTTCATGATGTTGAAGATGGCTGTGTTGTGCAAAGGCTTTTCCACACTGATTACATTCGTAGGGCTTCTCTCCAGTATGGCTTCTTTCATGTATTTGGAGACTACTATTACGTGCAAAGGCTTTTCCACACTGATTACATTCATAGGGCTTCTCTCCAGTATGGCTTTTTTCATGTTTTCGGAGACTACTGTGATATGCAAAGGCTTTTCCACACTGATTACATTCATAGGGCTTCTCTCCAGTATGTGTTCTTTTATGTTCTTGTAGATGACAATGCCATGCAAAGGCTTTTCCACACTGATTACATTCATAGGGCTTCTCTCCAGTATGGGTTCTTTCATGATGTTGAAGATGGCTGTGTTGTGCAAAGGCTTTTCCACACTGATTACATTCGTAGGGCTTCTCTCCAGTATGGCTTCTTTCATGTATTTGGAGACTACTATTACGTGCAAAGGCTTTTCCACACTGATTACATTCATAGGGCTTCTCTCCAGTATGGCTTTTTTCATGTTTTCGGAGACTACTGTGATATGCAAAGGCTTTTCCACACTGATTACATTCATAGGGCTTCTCTCCAGTATGTGTTCTTTTATGTATCTGAAGAGGACTGTGATGTAAAAAGGCTTTACCACATTCGTTATGTTCAAAGGGTTTCAATCTAGTATGTGTTCTTTCAAACCTGTGTAGATAACTGTCACATGTGAAGGCTTTAACACATTGAGTATATACAGATGTTTTCTCTCTAGTTTGACTTTTTTCATGCCTGTAATGATAGTGGGACATGTTAAAGAATTAGCACATTCATTGTTGAATATTTTTATCTGTATGAATTAATTTTACAATTTGGTCCAATTTTAAAGAGAAATAATATCTTAAGGTTTTATCACCATGTTTACAATCTTGTTGTTCCCCTTCATTAAGGCTTGTTTTGCATCTTTGAAGACAATAGATAACAACCTTTATAACATGGTTCACATTTACAGACTCTTTCTTCTGTATGAGAATTTTTACCTATTTGAAGAGAACTGAAAAATCTCAGAACTTCACCACCCTTGTTGCATTCATAAAGTTTCCTATAGCCGGGCGGTGGTGGCGCACGCCTTTAATCCCAGCACTTGGGAGGCAGAGGCAGGCGGATCTCTGTGAATTCGAGGCCAGCCTGGTCTACAAGAGCTAGTGCCAGGACAGGCTCCAAAGCTAAAGAGAAACCCTGTCTCGAAAAACTAAAAAAAAAAAATAAATAAATAAAGTTTCCTATATTGTGAGTGATACTACATTTGGTAAGTGAACTATGACAAACAGAAGTACTTACACAGTCCTGGTACTCATGATGCTTTTCTGAAATGTGAGCTTACTGATATATTAACAATGAGGCTAGAAAACCAATTACTTATATACTTGTCCAACAAATTCAACAAGTATATTCATAATGGGGACTGCTACATATCTTCTAATTGTTCTGAGAAAAAGGTATGTTATCTATTTTCACATCCCTATGCTCATGGGGCTTGTATCCAGAGTAACATATGACATACCTAGTAAAAGAAAAATAACAAATATAAGGTTTCCACATTGAGTTCACACAGTTTGACTTTATGTTCATAGACTTGTGGTATATGGATTAAGGCCTCTCCATAACAGCTGCCCCTTGACTGATGACTTTAACTGCCCCCTCACTAAACTTTGCACAGTCACAAGTCTATGAGTTAAACTACCTTTTCTATGGACTATTAGTATAATAGAGTTTTAGAGAGATACTTATCACCTTTTCAATATGTATATATTTTATATATATATATATATATTCATGAAATAAATAGATTGATAATTCTACAATATAGCTCTCATCATATTATGACTCAAATTTTAATATAGGTTAAGACATTGTTTCCTTATCTTCCTTCTTAAAAGAATGGCTTGCAAATGCAGTTCACTTATCTGAAATTAAGGTATATGATTTTGTGAGAATTTAAAAATCATCAATGCACTTTAGTATTTACACTGTTGCTTTTGTTTAAAGCTTATAGGATGGATTACACATTCTTCAGAGATACAATTCTATCAGCTTACACATGAAAATTACCTTTCATGTCTTCTAGAACTTTGACAATGTTCTTCAATATTATGGTCTTCCCAACTGTATCCTAAAATATAATGCCAGAATATGTATGTTATATATTGAAATGTGTAAAAAAAAATTTGTTACCATTTGCATTGAACCTTGCAGCCATGCCTGATTTATTCATTTCATTCTTCTTCTTCCTCAATCATATTACAAAAGAGAACCAGCTACCAATGAACAATTGTCCCCTTATTTTAAAACATGAAATATAATTCAGTCTTACCTATACTAGTAAGGTTTCTGTAGGTTTCCAACATCACATCTTTGTAGAGACTCCTCTGGGTAGGATCCAGCAAAGTCCATTCTTCCCAAGTGAAGTCGATATGTACATCATCATAGGTCACTGCATTCTGAAATATTCCATACATTTGTACAACAGAAATCATGACTTTGACAACACTGCAAATGTATACTTCTTTGACAGTATAGTCATATAACTTTGGTGCTCCCCATACTTATTCTATGAAATAGACATAATGTAATTACCAAGTCACTTTAGAAACAAACTGAATGGAAGATTCACCTCTGTAATTTATGAACCCTTTGAAATGCCTATTAACAAACAATAAAAGATAAGTAAACAGATCAACAGTACAGAGGACACATGAGAGAAATTGTATGGATGATTAATTTCTAACTACAAAAAAAGAAAAGTAAGATAGGCAAGCTGGGTGTATTGAATCATGCCTTTAATCCTTGCACTCAGAAGGCAGAGGCATATATCTATCTGCCTCTGAGTTGAATGGCCTAGTCCATGCAATCACTTCTAGGACAGCCATAAATATATATTAAGGATCTGTTTCCATTTAAAAGTCAATCAAACAAACATAAAAGATAGAAAGAACTCAGAGGTTTTTGCTGTAGTTCCTGAAAAGAGTTATCTATTTACTCCAGCTCTTTATTCATCTATGAGAAACCTGAAGTGTCTCAATTTAAACTGCAACATAAATAAGATTTTACTAAAAGGCACTGGATGTTTAAAAAGTTATAATTGGACAAATGAAAGCATCAAATATATATGTTGATTACAAATAATCAACACTGAGCAGGAAAGATGTTTCAACAGTAAAGAGTACTCCTGGTCTGACTCAAGGAATTACATGGGGGGATCACAACTATTCATTATTCCAAGTTCAGGGTTCCTAGTTCCATCTTTTAATCAATGTAAGGATCAGGCACTCACATGGTACATATCCATGTACAAGTAAATACTCATATTAAAATAAAAATTCAAACAAACAAAATAGGAAGGAAGAAGGTGATGCACCTGCAATCCAATGACTCAGAAAGCACAACCAGTATCAATGTCATGAATACATGCCATCCTGGGAAACATAATGATACCCTCTGTCAAATTTTAAAATTCAAGATATGGGTGAAGCTCAGTACAACAGCATATGCTTGATAGGAACAAAACCATCATACAACAATATAAAAACAAAAAAATCAAGGCCCACTTTTAATCCCAGTACTTGGGAATCAGGGTCAGGGGATCTCTGAGTTTGAAGCCAGCCTGGTATACACAGCAACTTTCAGGACATATAGGGGTATACAGACAAATCTGGTATTCAGAAATAAACAAACAAAAATGAAAACTGTAGGCTACCAAACTGTCTTAGGATCAAATAGCAGTTAATTTTGCTGAATCTTATGTGATTTGGTGATGGAGTTTATAATGGTAGGGAAGTCATGACAGCAAAAGAAGAAAGCTGACTGATTAGTATCAACCACAACATAGCAGGCACAAAGAACAGGGAATAGGTTGTGGCTATAGAAACTCATATCACATGTCCAATGAGGAATTTCATCCAGAAAGGCTCCTCCTCCTACTGGATTCACAAGCAATCAAATGAAAGTTGACAAGAAGAGGGACAAGTTCAAATACATCTTCCTATATGAGAGGTTTTCATTCAATCAATTACATTCTGACCTGGGTCACAATAGGCTCATGGCAACCAATGAAGAAAAATGCGTTTAGGGTTACAGTTAAGAATCACTTTGCTTACACCTTCCATAAGTTGAATGCTTATGTGAATGGAGTCTTACCATTAGAGCACCTTGCTAGGCTTCCATTCTATAGCAAGGGCCTTCTCTATAATGGTGATAAAATCCTTGAAAATCCCTGCCTGTTCCAGTAATTGACTACCATAATAAACTGCTTTTTCATTTTCATTTATTTCTGCCCCATTTGGTGTTTTTTTTTTACTGTAGTCTTGAATGAATCATCAGTAATAACCATCCACCACACTCAATATTCCATTTAAGGAATTAGCTCATATTTTTAAATTCTGCTTTACTAAATTTCCAGGTCAGAGGCAGAAAAAGAAATATTTTGGATCCAAAATATCACACAAATAACCTCCAGCTTAATCAATTTCAACTGAAATTCTATGATTTCAATCTCCACTTTCTGTCATTTCTCTTAACATTTCCATCTTTCGCTGTTTAGTTGCTGAGGAATCCCATCAGGACGGGTGAGTGTGTGCTACCCAGGGGCGGGCGGACTGTCCCAGAAGAGAGCATAAACCCCCTCCCCCAGCTCCTTCTGCAGGGCTGTCTTTCTTTCGCACGACCAAGCACCCCCAGCACCCCTCCCCAACCCTGCCCCGCTGTATGCTAGGACCAGTGCTCAACTACAGTCTTAAGCTCCTAAACTAAGGCGACCCACCCAGAGCGGTGAGTGCCTGCCAGCCGGGCAGGCCTCAGGGTCCCCTGTAAGGGAGCCGGGCACCTTCAGCTCCGGCACCAGGCTTCCTGCGCGCTCCTGGATACCCCTACCCCCCCCCCCCCCCCCCCCCCCCCGGCTCCATTCATCCTGTTGGCCCTGGATCATTGGGCTACCGGCGGCCCTGTTTAGTTGCTGAGGAATCCCATCAGGACGGTTGAGGAGGAATCCCATCTGGACGGGAACGGTTCCTGCTTCTACACTGAAGAGATATACCCTGAGAGTCAATCACAGCAAAGTCTGGACCAAGAGACCAGGCCTCTCCTGGCTCCATTTGAAGGAAGAGATGGGAAGGCGCCAATACAAGAATTCCTCCAACAATCTGAAAGGCAACATGACATCACCAGAAACCAGGGATCCCGAAATAAGAAGAATTGTACACCCTACTCCTGAAGAAATAGAAGAAATCGACTCAAAAGTGAACTATATGAAAATAATAGAGGACCTTAAACAGGAGGTGAAAAACTGCCATAAACAATTAGAGATTACAAACAAAAAGGTAGAGGAAATGAATAAATCGCTCAAAGACACGCAAGAAAACCAAGAGAAACAAGAAAAAGCAATCAAACAGGTTAGGGAAGCGGTTCAAGACATGAAGAATGAAATGGAAGCAATGAAGAAAGCACAAACCGAGGGAAGAATGGAGATGGAAAATCTAGGTAAACGAACAGGAATGACAGAAACAAGTACTAACAACAGATTACAAGAGATAGAAGAGAGAATATCAGACACTGAAGATACCATAGAAAAAATAAACACACTGATCAAAGAAAACAGCAAAACCAACAAATTCTCATCACAAAACATTCAGGAAATTTGGGACACAATAAAAAGACCAAACCTAAGAATAATTGGAGTAGAAGAAGGAGAAGAAGTGCAGCTCAACGGTACAGAAAATATACTTAATAAAATTATAGAAGAAAACTTTCCCAACCTTGTAGTAATATGGGGCGGCAGGGCTGCGTTCCCCACACCCGGCCGCCCACATGGCTAGCTTATGCACCAAAATAATTACACAGACACTGTATTCTTTTAAGCACTGCTTGGCCCTTTAGCTCTAGCACTTACAGGCTAACTCTCACATCCCGATCAACCCATCTCTAATAATCTGTGAGAACCGGTCTTACCGGGAAGATTCTAGCCTAGTCCATCCTGGGTTGGAGCTTCATGCCTTGAGCGGGGCATCGCATCTCTCCCAGGCGTCTGCTCCAGAGAGGAGAGCTGTCGAGTCCCTGAGCTCACTTCCTCTTCCTCCCAGCATTTTGTTCTGTTTACTCCTCCCACCTATCCTCTAACCAATAAAATGGGCCAGGGCAGTGCCTTTATTAGCCAATGACCTTCCTCCATCACAACCTGAAGAAAGAGGTACCTATGAAGGTTCAAGAAGCATACAGAACACCAAATAGGCTGGATCAAAAAAAAACATCCCCTCGACATATAATAATCAAAACACAAAATACACAGAATAAAGAAAGAATATTAAGAGCCGCAAAGGAAAAAGGCCAAGTTACTTATAAAGGTAAACCTATCAGACTTACACCTGACTTCTCTATGGAAACCATGAAAGCCAGAAGGTCCTGGATAGATGTACTACAAAAACTAAGAGATCATGGATGCAAGCCCAGACTACTATATCCAGCCAAGCTTTCGTTCACTATAAATGGAGAAAACAAAATTTTCCAGGATAAAAACAAATTCAAACAATACGTAGCCACAAATCCAGCCTTACAGAAAATTATAGAAGGAAAATCACTAACCAAGGAGTCCAACAATGCCCACAATAACTCAGTCATCTAGAGACCTTTCACCAGCGCAACTCAAAGAAGGGAAACACACAAACCCTACTACTAAAAAAGTGACCGGAGTTAACAACCACTGGTCATTAATATCACTTAATGTCAATGGGCTCAACTCACCTATAAAAAGGCACAGGCTAAGGGATTGGATACGAAAACAGGATCCAATGTTCTGCTGTCTACAAGAAACACACCTCAACCACAAAGACAGGCACCTACTCAGAGTAAAGGGCTGGGAAAAGGCTTATCAAGCAAATGGACCTAAGAAACAAGCAGGTGTGGCCATACTAATTTCTAAGAAAGTTGACTTCAAACTTAAATCAATCAGAAGAGATGGAGAGGGACATTTTATACTCATAACAGGAACAATTCATCAGGATGAAGTCTCAATCCTGAATATCTATGCCCCGAATATAAAAGCGCCCACATATGTAAAAGAAACATTACTAAAACTCAAGGCAGACATCAAACCACACACACTAATAGTAGGAGACTTCAACACTCCTCTCTCACCAATGGACAGGTGAATCAAACAGAAACCTAACAGAGAAATTAGAGAATTAATGGAGGTAATGAAGCAAATGGACTTAACAGACATCTATAGATTATTCCACCCGAAGAGGAAAGAATATACCTTCTTCTCTGCAGCTCATGGAACCTTCTCGAAAATTGACCACATACTTGATAACAAAGCTAACTTACACAGTTAAAAAAAAATATTAGTAACCACCTGTGTCTTATCAGATCACCATGGATTAAAGTTAGAATTAAACAACAATGCTACCCCCAGAAAGCCTACAAACTCATGGAAACTGAACAGTCAACTTCT